AGAGAGAGAGAGAGAGAGAGAGAGAGAGAAAGGTGTGAGAGAGACGTGTCTTGGAAGAGAAGGAGAGAGGATATTGAGTAAAAATTATTCTTATCCTCGTGAAAGAAGTAGATTTCATGGACAAAGAGACGGAGCAGAAAAATTATATCAAATAATGTTTCCTGGAGAGTTGAAGAAATTGTGGGTTGAAATATTGCTCGGTTTTAGGAAGGAATGACTATAAGAAAGGCGTGAGTTTTAAGAAAAGTAAGGGCTCATTAAAGAAGAACAAACATTAGGGCGAGATACGTCCATTGAAATAAATGCTGAAGGGTTTCACACTCTGGAATGTGTAAACATTGAACCCATGGAACAAAGGGTCGGGATTTGGGGAGGGCGGAGGATGATTGTTACTTTGTCCGAGGCATCGATTTATTCTGAAAAGATGGAGGCGAGAGAACCCTGCCTGGTAAAGCAAGGAAAAGCAGGGTGTACAGCGTAAGAACAAATACATTGATATATCATTTTTATGTAGGGAAAACAAGGATTGTAGAGGGGGGGCAATGGGTGGGGTCAGAGAATGGTCAAGGGGTTATGATAAAAGTACAGAATGGGTGGGACTCTATTAATGATGATAAGAAAGGAGGGAGAGAAATTGATGGAGGCAGAGAAGCTAGCTGAAGTAGCAAAAGGGAGGGATAAACGGGTCATAGGCGGAGAGAAAGCGGGATAAAGAGGTGTAGGCAAGGCCTTGGGGACTGGTGGAGCACAATGTACTGACGAACTAAGATTTTTTATGAGACGCACAGGGCGAACGTAGGGGGCGCGAGAGTATGAATAAAGGAGGGAATTTGATGAGGGGTTGATTAAATAGGGAGATGGGAAAAGAGAGAAGGGGGAACAGGGCAGATACAGAGATCGAAGGAAAAGAAAGACGGAGTGCAGAAATAAATGCGTTTGGAGAACGATTGGAAAAGTAGAGTATAAGAAGAGAGTAGAGAGAAAGTACAATGGATGGAATTGGATTGCATGTATCATATATTCTCGGAATATTATATTTATGTATATTGCCTCCTGTGTGTATGTGGGTGTATGTGAGTGTGTATATATAGTTTTATAAATATAT